TGTATCTTTTAAATTAAATATTGTTTAAATACTTATAACTGTGTATATATTGACCTTTTCGAAAACCTAGCTAAACACCGTTTTCTGGTACGTTGACGGATTTAGCTCTGGGGAATTACACCAAATGAAGTACATAACACAGTTACATGATATTTATATTTTTCTATCATTTTTTTACCGTTTAAGGTGAAAAAAAATTAATGTCTTTGAAAATTATCAATTTTCCTTGAATATCTATTGCAATTTTTTCAAAAAAATAAATTGTTTATGATGAAAATCAAAAAAATTTAAACAGACATAGTGGAATCTTCCATAATATATAAGGTTATTTTCTGCATAAACTTGTGTATCTACTTTATTTTATGTACATGTATGGAATTATTCATAAAATGATATTTAATTATTTTCTTATAAAGAAATAACTGTTTTATTTCAATTTAATTTAGAAAAGGCCGAAAACATGGAGTTCGCTATTACACTCCATTAGGTGAATTCCCCAAAGCTATGTACAGAAAGTACCGGAAAACGGCGTTTAGCAAGGTTTTCGAATTCGTGAATATCCAGTAACACTGAAATGTGAAAATCATGTTGGAATTGCAAATCTGTGGATTAAGAAAATAACTACATGTACACAGTATTTATGTATCATTACATTTATTTCTGGTATTAGTTTGATGTACATTGCAGTGACAATAGTCAGGGTCAGCCTAACGATAAAAGGAAACTAGTTACAGCAAAATAAATAATAATCATTTTGCTTGACTATACAATCTTTTCACATACCTGTATCTATATCAAGTACAAATCTTAGAAAATAAAACTAACCTTCAAAGTGCTGTCATCTTCTCTTAATATATTGCTACAGTAATTTTCCCTTAAAATATTACTACAGCAAGCATGATTTGAACAAGGATTTCTGCCTCTTATTGCTGGCCTGGACTTTGAAGAATACAGACGAACTCCACTGAATCGTAATGCCTTGTATAATAAAAGTTTTCCTTTCATCATCATTTTGTTAAACAGCAGTCTGAAAAGTCAATAAACAAATCATAAGTACCATGTTTGTGTACCTTCAAGCAATTGATCATGGGTCAAAATGAGTCCACAATTCCAGATTGTTGGGGCTCAATCCTTAAAAGAACAAACTTGGGCAATTTCCTGAATATTTATATTTTCAGCAACTGACAACTACTACTATTGTTAAGATACTTACATTATTCTACACCGAACTTTATTTTTGACATACGATTTATTTTTGTTTACGTAAACCGTCAGCTTTATGGTTGCATAACCACATAATATTACCCCACCCACAAAACTGACAACATTTAGAAGCTGAAAAAAAGGATTAAATTTATAATTTCAATAGTAAGATATTCTTACTGATATAATATTTTAACAGTTGTATATTGCGAGAAAATTAAAATATAAAAATAAACTTACAAATCAAATACTTTCACGTTTATGTAAGATCCATCCGATTTTTATGTCAGTATACGGTCGTGAAATTATTCCTGGTATCAAAGGCGCTTGCTTACCTAAAAAACAACGAACAAACAAAAAACGGAAAGTTTCAAACTTACTTTGCAAATGGACGCTAAATTACTTGATAGGAAACACTTGAAATGTGCCGGGTTGTGGAATTTTGCATACTGTAATGATACTTAAACTGCGATCTCCCTTTCCAGAGTCTTTCAGGATAATCAATAAAAAAAACTTTGATGCTGATTACGGGCGTTACAGAAATACATATACTGTGCTCCATTGGGACGTGAAAAGTTGCATTTCCCGTTATATCATGGAGCTAAATATATATCTGTGATAATTTGTATCTCATTAGTAGACTCAATGAAACCATGCAAGTCTGCAACTTTTAGTTGTATATTTTCTTCAAAATTTAAATATTAATATAATATTATTGCTCACTATGCAGTAAGTGGTTCAATTATATACATTTGTAGCTATGAAATATACACATATTTAAAATAGCATCATGTAGTACAGCTAGTTTTCTTGGCCATTATGAACTTAAAAGAAAGGGCGGTGAAAAATTCATCAGTGTCGGCTTTTAAAAAGACTGGAATCCGGACTGACTGACTGAAGTTAATGCTTAATGAGGGTCCATCGGCCCGTAAGGGCACAAAAAGCAGCTTTCGCTGTCGAGTACGGACCCCGGACATATTACCAGTCATGCATGCCCTTAAAGAGTTAATTTTGAAGCACAAAGTGGTGATAATTTACCTCCATGCAATTTCCACGGAGTATTAGCCCAAGATATGAATTTTGAGCCTAAAGTAGGTCACTGTACGGCGGTCAATGAGAACCTAAATTTACAGTAACCTGTGACAATATGAAAGGGTAGCCCTGAAAAGGGCTGTTGGTGCCAGCAAAAGGCCTGCCGTTTAAGCTTACGTACCCTAGTACACCATCTTAATTCGTCGACCCAAGCGCCTACTTTGTAGGGCCACTCCCCTCGGCTTTAGTAAGGACATAGGCAGCTGATCCGCAGCACAAGTTCCGATCTTTTTTCGCTGTTCCCAGTCATCAAATCTTCTGCCGATGCCCTGTGTCTTCTCAACGACGTACACGTACCGAGGGGAAGAGAGAAGACTGGAATCCGGGATCTTATTAAAGATATAAATATCCTGATATCTGACCATCTAACATATAGGTATCAACGGGAGTCCGCGGGATCAGGATCTACTGTCTCCAAGTATAATGACATTTATTAATCATTGGACAATTGTTCACTAGCTGAAATATGTAAAGATTTACATTTTGTCGTAGACATTTTTTTCGTGCATGTGTTTATTTATAATTAGAAATACTATTTCACTTCTCTTTTCGAGTATTTTACGTGTGTATAATTGATTTTAGTAAAGTTGTATAGGTGAATAACAGTAATAATGATACAAGTGTATTTGTAAGACGGGTTTATTTTTAAAATAAAGAAAATCGTTTAAAAGTTAATCTTTGTATGCAAGTTTGGTCATACCCTGCTTAAATATTTCCCAGTTTAATAGGGACTTACAGAAGTTATTATGGGGCAGGGAGGGAGTGTTAAGGTATGATGATAGTTGGAATGAATACTTACAACAATTACATTAGGTATTGATTCGGGAGATTTGTCCATATAATTAATATAGGACTTTTATAAGTTAAATGCATTATTTTTACATGACTCGTGGATTTTCCACTATAGATAAAAAAAGTAACCGTGTTTATCTGCAAATGAAAGCTGTTTACAGAATACATATAGATATCAACAAAACAGGAGGCGACTATGAACGGAATTTGATATAGTATCAACTTTTGTTCGTCTACGAAAATTAATACACATTTTTTAAAGAAATATAGCGTTTTTATTGGATGTCAAATAAAGCTGGACACTAATAATAGTACGTTTTCTTTACTTATGAAATAACTTCTCACAGGTACTAGTTATTGTGAGTATATCTAGTATCCAGGTGAAGACCAAAAAATCCAGTCTGATAATCATGTTAAATTTGTTAATCAATTAATAAACCAATCTTGTAATTAAAAGAATTAATGTACGACATCATTGAAATTATTTACCCTCAGACGATGATTAGTTCTACGCGTGGAATGTGTATGAGTTTAATTTTCTGCATGAAGAAAGTGGTGTTAGCAAAATGCTTTAGCAAAACTAAATAAAATCTTAAAAACATGAAATAATGTGTATGCAATGCCGAAAGTGTGCGCACAACAACCGTTCACCACTCAAAATCAGCAGCTTAAATATTTGCAATAAAATTCGTGTAAATCGATCATATTGAGTATGTTCATGAGAGATAATAAAATGTATCACATCTCTCACGCCCCTGTACTGAACATAACCCACTCTGGGGCATTAATGTACAGGATAGCCTAACCCCGGCTTGAACAGTATTCAATCTTCAACACAAGTATATGAAATTATGATCTCAATAAACCAGAAGCAGAATAATATAACAACGATTATACATTACAATAACCTGGCAATGCTTTTTTCAATGCATGAAATTTACAAACTGAATTAGCTACGCACATGTATCATCTTTTTAAAAAAAATAGCATAATTTTAATGATATAGTGGGTTTAAAAAAATGTGATTCCGCGTTTTTTTAAATATTATTTTAAATTCCTATTTTTAAGTGTAAATAATACATTTGTTATTCTCTTCTTTTTTTCGTGCACAATCTATTTGAATTATCCCGTGCATAGTACAATTTTATGGAAGGGAATAATTATTTCACCATTTACATTGATTATAGATTTTCCGTTTTCAAAGTATTCCTTTCGGCTTTAATTTTTTATGGTTCCCAATTTAATTTTATAAATATGCTGGGTACCAGTCTAACCAGCTTGCTTACAGCATTAATATTGAATAATTAATGTTATAAATATAAATTTCAAGAGTCTCATTTAGCTATGATATATTTTGTTCTGTTTAAAATAATGAAAAAGTAATCAAATTAATTTATTTTTTATAAATCATTTATTATATTCCAGTTTCATAGATTTTTACATGCTATAGGCGACTTAAACTTTGCTCAGAAGCACCAGGTATGCTAAAAGGAATAATATTTGATTTTAATGCCTGTAGAATGCGTTTCGACTGTAATGTAGGTTTCATAAAGTCACTACCAACTAAAAGAAGTATTTGTTATCACATGTCAGGTCTTTATTTGAGAAAATGAATGAAATGATGTTAGTGAGGGAGTCGGCCCACTGAATTTTCGCCCTATTTATCCTATATGGCTGCTTTTCCTTAAGTCGTGGGTTTTCCTTGAGTCGTGGGTGGGTTAAAATCGTAAACGACTTTTTGTATGGTTAACAATGTATTTTGAAAGTCAATATTTCTTTTATAATTTGTTGTTTAAAAGTTGTAAATTACTGTAATTAATCAATCATTTGGCCATTTGTAGGGATTGTTTACATTTTTTGACGGACAACAACAACCTACTGCGCGTTTCCGGTATTTGGAACAGGCGCGACTAAAAAATTTCGCGCCAAAATTGGCCCACAGAAAGTCTCACTGAAACTATTACTTGAAATATAAACCAACACTGGGTCATCGCATCATGATATCCATTATCGATCCATTATCAATTCTTGAACAAAATTTTAAAATCATTTGTTGTATCTCCGTCTTTTTATAACTTAAAGTTATGTTTGTTTATAAAGCAAAATTAAGGCAATATGATACATTTGAAAACCACATACTTTTATTCAAATATCATTTGCAATTGCTACTACAATTTTGTTAATGTAAAAAGATTTTGAAGGCAGAATGAAAGTTGCCCTGATGTTTTATTTTAGTTTGATTACCAACTTTAATAGCTCTCAGAGATCTGCCAAGAATTTGAAAGTACTGGGCCCTTGGTCTGAAAATGATGGGCCATTTTTACCAAAGTATGGGCCTTGGGAAAATAAGTAAACATTGACCTAAATAATTGTTAAAAAGTTTGTAGATAATTGAATTTCCCTGGTAATAAAAACTTAACATCATATTTTATGACAAGTGTTTCACTTCTGAATAATTAAAAAAATTATGTCTACATGGTAACTTTCTAACTAATTTATTAATTGCAGCAAAATATTTTTTCAAATGGGCTGCTCAAAAATTTGATATGCAAATTTATTTACATAATTGCTGGTTCTTACTTAAAATGGTCTAAATAATGTGCATTATCCATTTAATTGTTCCTACTTTTGCCACCAAATGTCCCTAAACCACTGTATATTGACGAATTTTATTGCCCCTTGTATGCCTCTGTGTAGACAGCATACATCAAAGACACTTGCCGACAGACCTTTTGATCATGAAAAAAATCACACACAATGTTTCCCTGATGGTTAATCACCCTGTCAAATATTTCTGATGACAAATAGACATCTTTTTTTTACACTAAATCAGCCAAAGCTTACATGAACTTGAGTGACCTTAGGGGTGATTCAAGTTTTACACCTGTCAGATTATACTGTAACTTACAGCATTTCTTAAAATACCAACACTTTTTTTTCAGTTATCGATAATCATTGTAAATATTAAGTAGTTGTATAATTTGTTTGTTTGTTTTATTGGATTAAATTTACGTAGTAGAAATGAGTATCTGTGTGGGAAAGGGATTATAAAGAAGAAATGCAGGGTAAGTAGATAAACATGGACAAAAAAGCTATAGGGGAATGGATTAACTCAAGAATTGTATATGAGTTAGTGTTCATCCGTTGATGTTTCTACAGAAATTAGAAACTTTGACGGAGCGATAGCGACAGGAGAATGTTTCTAATTTCTGTAGAAACAGCACGGATGAATAGTTAACAAATTTAGTGTGTCAAGCTTTTATTTGGCCTCATAATCAGTCACTTTATTACGTCACTATGTGGTTTTATGAAGTACTATGAAAAATAAAGAATCGACTATGGACGAATTTGATATAGAATCGACTTTTGTTCTTCTATGAAAATTAACGCACAAAAATACAGCGTTTCATTGGATGACAAATAAAGCTTAGGACACTAAGCGTGATACAGGGGAAGCGGTAACATGTTGCTGTTATACCAGTTTTGACTGGACATGACTAAATACCCAACGGATCAGTTTTATTTTCTTATAAGTCAGGCACAGATTTTAGATGCGCCCATGGCCCTTTGCTGCCGATTTTCCTGCGCCATTCTCATTTTTTTAGCGCCAATGGCGCAAAATCGCGTCCTCGGCAGATCTCTGGCTCTTATTCAGGACTGTTTAGTACCGAATAAATTAATCAAATCTGACTCTAAATCGCTAAAGATAGGAGGCTCTAGTCATATAATGATGTTTAATAAATTGGTAAAGTAACTTGAAATAGTTCACTGAGACTTGGCCAATGTTTTCTTGCAATACTGTTGACATACATGTTAGCCACGACTCAAGGAAAAGCAAAATGCATTATGGATGCCAAAATGGTACCTATATATAAAAATGGGCTTAGATAATCGGAAATAAATCTTAAGAGATGCATAAAAGATCATGACAGTGCAAAATACAAATAGTTAAACATTTTCGGGTAATTTCAATGCTTGTTCGTGTGACGTCATCATACGTCACTGGTCTATTTTTAGAAATGCCCACGACTCTTGGTAAATAAAGCATAGTATATTCAACATTTAAAAGAACTACTTTCTAGACTACAACGGGCTTGGTCTCAGTCTAGGTAAAGCAGACTGGCCATATCTGGATAGAACGTTACTGAAAAAGGATCATTGTGTACACCAGTCTTGCTGTCGATTTTAGAGACCTGTGTAGCCTTTTGATACCATCTCTCGTACTCTCGACCAAAGTGATACATTTCATATTTGACAAATCAAATTTATGTTGTGCAGCAAGGGATAGTTTAATAACGTGACAAGCACTAACATTTCCTTTGTTTTGGCAAAGTTCCATTTTTACAGCTTCATTTTGACCATTTTAATAGCAAACGAAAGTTGAATTTTAAGATAATGGCAGCCAACTTTCATTTTTGAAATTGTGTATTTTGTAAATTTACCACTTTACTAATGTAGTCTAGATTTGTGGAATAAGTGAGATCAATAAGAATTCATTATTAAGCTTTCTTTCTGTTAAACCTACCACAAGTCAGACCATTTTACATACGTTTTATACAGTGAGATACGCAATCGGTTATCTTTACTCGCAATTCTACTGATAAGAAAAGCTTGTCGTCTGCTACTTCGAAACTGTCAATCCTTGTATTCTCAGTGGTCAGGAAGAGCACTAGGCATTTAAGGGGAAAATATAAGCATTTTTAGGGGAAATTTTACATATTTTGAGCTAGGGAAAACAGGCTTTATTCGGCTGTAAAATACAGTGAAAAAAATCACTGTTTATACAAGTACCTTTTTGCATTCATATGCATTTTGCTTTTCCTTGAGTCGTGGCTAGAATGTATGTCAACAGTATTGCAAGAATACATTGGTGAAATCTCTCTGAACTATTTCTTATATTTATAATTATAATAAGTTACCTTACCAATTTATTAAACATCGTTATTTATATGACTAGAGCCTCCTATCTTTAGCGATTTAGAGCAAGATTTGATTTATTTATTTGGTACTTAAAAGTCCTCAATAAGATCTATTCTGAGTAAAGGTTTGTAATCAAACTAAAATTAAACATCAGGGCAACTTTCATTCTGCCTTCAAAATCTTTTATACATTAACAATATTGTCGCAACAATTGCATATGATATTTTAAATAATGTGGTTTTCAAATTTATCCTATTCCCTTAATTTTACTTTATAAACCACCATTACTAATTGCAAAAAGACTTAGATAAAACAAATGATAACTATAAACAAGTTTGATAATGGATTGATAAAAGATATGATTACAAAACTGTTGTAAGATGTTATTTTCCATCTTACTAAATGTAAAAAATCCTCTCAAATATGTGAGAAAGTTCTGTACCTAATGTATTTTCAGGTTTTGATGAGATTCAATATGGATACAGTAAGGAATATGGAATTCATCAATGTGTTAGGAATGCCTACCAGTGTATTAAAGTATGGTGAAATTTTACAGGACACAAAATCAATGTTTCTAGTCGTACCAGGTTTGTTTTACTTTTATTTGCTATGATCTGGTCCGTATTTTTGTGAATCACCACTTCCATGTCCAATCAGTAACTTGAGAAGGCATCAGCCCTTGTTATATAATTTGGTAGGGACATTGCCTATTGTCAGTAGATGACCCCTTTTGATTTTGAGGTCAAGGCCTGCAGAAATTAAAATAGGCTTCTAATAAAATATCTTTACTAATTTTTCAGCAGATTTTTTATGAAACTTCAAAAATAATCTTTGAGGTATTCCTACAAAAGCTGAAAATGTTCCAGTCTGCTAAAAAAAGTTGCATACAGAACTTTAAATAGAAATTATTATTAACTTTCAGATTTTATAAAACTTGCCAGAATGATCATTGGGTTGTTATTTTCTAAAAATAAATAAATAAAGTCAAAAATGATTTGTCTTGTTGAACTTAACAACGGACGGAGAGAGAGAATTAATTATAATCTCTTAACATGTTAACTTCAACACAAGGGGAAAAGAATAATAATCTTGTTTTGACACCTCTTGTACCCTGTGTTTAAACTGACCAACACCAGAATTTTTTATGTGCCTTTAGGCTTTTTCAAAATCGATTTTGCTCATCTTAACTTTTAACAGTTGTCACTTGACTTGAGGTCACAGTTTTAAAGTGCATCAGACTTTGTCGGAATGACCATATTATTGATCAGTTGGATTAGTTTAATTTATGGGTCATCTTGGGTTCAAAAACTAGGTCACCATGTTAAAGAAATACCTTGTCTTGAGGCCATCAAAGCTTTTCAGGATGGTTTCCTCAATAGTATCTCTAATGAGTTCAATAATGGGCCATCTTGGGTTATAAACTAGATCCCAAGGTCGAATGAAAGCAAAACATTAAAAGCAAAATTAACAAGTTTTTAACACTGCTGTAAGTATGAATCTGACCAGAGACTTCAGATTTTTATGTCCCCGCCATAAAATGGCTGGGGCGTATAGTGTTACCCTGTTCAGTCATCATCAGTTTCCTTTAATTATCTTAGTAACGGTTGCACACATTCAACTCAAATTGACATGGGGATATATTTCATAAAAAAAAAACAGGTCAAGTTCAAATTTGGTCATGGTTCAATGACTTTTGGCAGAGTTATGCCCCTTGATGAAATTTTCAGTTTCCGTTCATTACCTCCCCAACGGTATTACACATTCAACTCAAGTTTGACATATGGATGGATACGTCAAAGAAATGCGCAGGTCAAGTTTGAATTTGGTCATGGTTCGATGATTTTTGGCAGAGTTATACCCCTTTCACTTTGAAAATAATATGAAATTATCAGTTTCCGTTCATTATCTCCTCAACGGTATTACACATTCAACTAAAATTTAACATATGAATATGTCAAAGGAATGGGCAGGTCAAGTTCAAATATGGTCATGGTTTGATGATTTTTGGCAGAGTAATGCCCCTTTCACTTTAAAAATAATATGAAATTTTCAGTTTCCTTTCATTATCTCCCCAACAGTATTACACATTCAACTCAAATTTGACATATGGATACATTAAAGGAATGCACAGGTCAATTTGGTCATGGTTTGATGATTTTTGGCAGAGTTATGCCCTTTTACATTGAAAAATAATATGAAATTTTAAGTTTCCATTCATTATCTCCCCAATAGTTGTACATATTATACTCAAATTTAACATATGGATATGTCATAAGAATACACTGGTCAAAATCGAGTTTGGTCATGGTTTGATGATAACTGACAGAATTATCCCTCTTGAACTTTGAAAAAAAACCAGAAATTTTTAGTTTTCTTTCATATCTCCCCAATGGTTGTACACATTGAGCTCAATTTGATAAATAGATACATCTTAGGAATTAGCAGTTCAAGTTTGAATTTGGTCATGGTTCAATGATTTTGGACAAAGTTATCTCTTTTGAATGTTGGAAAAATTTAGAATTTTCAGTTTCTGCACTCATACTTTAGTGGAAATGTATGCAGTTAATATCATTTTGGCTACAAATATGCAATATGCAATTTACTAAAGGTTAACACTGAATAGTTTCAGTGCCTTGAACTTTGTATAAAAATGTTTACATTGAATAGTTTTTAAGTGCTTTGAACTTAAAATGTAAAAAATACATTTGTGGCATAACAACCCATTTCTAGTTTCATGTTAGGAAGCTATCCAGCTAGCATAGTATGTCTGTGTGTAAGGTTCTACTCTGAAACCCTTTTATACCTGAAATGTGAGGAGTGGGGTATCAGAGATGTTTCCCCGCCAGTAATACAAATGTAGCTGGAAAGTCACCATGACCTTTACAGTTACTCAGCCAAAGCCATCATTTTTGATGACTAAATGACTTATTTTCAAGTCAGAGACTGAATGACTTATTTTGAAGTCAAAGACTGAATGACTTAAGTCAGAAACCATTTCATTTATTAATCAGAAAACATTTTGGTATTATTGTTTTGTAATCAGAAAGCATTTCATGTTTTAAACAAATTCCAGGAGCTAGGCATCATGTATGAACATTTTCAGTTTGTAACAAAAAGATGCAATTGCATTAGGAAAGATCCTGATGTGGCTTGGATTCGAACTAGTGACTTACAAGTGATAGAAACAAAGTTTTAGCCCACTAAGCCAAAGAATTTATTCCCAGGCACAGTTGTCAGAAGTTGTACATATTTATGAATCATAACAGTTGACAAGATTAAATTTAGGTGACCTTTGATCAAAACTAGGTTAAATTCATGACAAACAATGCCATCTTTCTGAAATTACTGTTTTATTTGGATTTTGTCAAAACTAGTAAGAATGACTATATTTTTAGACAAACTTGGCCAATAAGACGGACAATCATGGTCTTCTTGTTTACAATAGGTAATTACACTGTATGTAGAATTATATACACAACAAATACATCATGAACTGAAGAATACCTGCCCCTACCCTATTTTCCCCCTAATTGGCCCCTTTTTAGCTCGACTATTCGATAAGTAGAGCTATTGCAGTCACCCGAGCGTCCGCGTCCGTGTAACCACTTATGTTAAAGTTTTTGTAATAGTTCAAATATTTTCAAAGTCCATTGACATATGGCTTTGAAACTTTGCACACTTGTTCACCATCATGACCCCAACCTGTAGACAGGAGGAGGTAACTCTATTAAGCATTTTGACAGAATTATGCCCCTTTTTATGCCACCGCAGCATCTGCGATGCGGTGGCATATAGCGATTCACCTGTGTGTGTTTGTGTGTGTTTGTTTGTGTGTGTGTGTGTGTGTGTTATATAGATTATATAGGTGAACTTATAAAATCTTTTGTGAAAAACCAGTAGTCCAATTTTCAACCAACTTGGCAGGATTGATCCTTGGGTGAAAGGGCTTCCAAAGTTGTTCAAAGAACTTCATTCCATGCAGAAATCTGGTTGCCATGGCAACAAAAAGGAATTATAAGAACAAATTTAAAAAATCTTCTTGTAAAGACCCAAAAGGCCTAGAGCTTAGATATTTTGCATAAGGCATTGTCTGGTAGAACCCTCTACCAAGGTTGTTCAAATTATAGCCCTGGGTCAAAATCGGCCCCGCCCGGGGTCATTGATTTTCACTATATGTACATATAGTAAAAACTTAAAATACCTTATTGTAAAGACCCAAATAGCCTAGAGCTTAAATATTTTGCATAAGGCATTGTCTGGTAGACCTCTACCAACATTGTTTCAAAATTATAGCCCTGGGGTCAAAATAGGCCCCGCCCCGGGTCATTGTTATATAGATTATATAGTGAACGTAAAAAATCTTTCTTGTGAAAAACCAATAGTCCAATTTCAACCCAAACTTGGCAGGATTGATCCTTGGGTGAAGAGCTTCCAAAGTTGTTCAAAGAATTTCATTCCATGCAGAAAAATCTGGTTGCCATGGCAACCACCAAAAGGAAATTATAAGAATAAATTTAAAAAAAATCTTCTTGTAAAGACCCAAAAGGCCTAGAGCTTTAGATATTTTTTGCATAAGGCATTGTCTGGTAGACCTCTACCAAGATTGTTCAAATTATAGCCCTGGGGTCAAAATCGGCCCTGCCCCGGGTCATTGATTTTCACTATATGTACATATAGTAAAAACTTAAAATACCTTATTGTAAAGACCCAAAAAGCCTAGAGCTTAGATTATTTTGCATTAAGGCATTGCCCTGGTAGACCTCTACCAAGATTGTTCAAATTATAGCCCTAGGGTCAAAATCGGCCCGCCCCCGGGGTCATTGATTTTCACTATATGTACATATACGTAAAAACTTTAAATACCTACTTGTAAAGACCCAAAAGGCCTAGAGCATAAGGCATTGTTTGTAGACCTCTACCCAGATGTTCAAATTATAGCCTGGGGTCAAAATCGGCCCTGTTCCGGGGTCATTGGTTTTCGTTATATGTATTATAGTAAAAACTTTAAAAAAATTTCTTCTAAGCAATTGACAAATGCTAGAGGTTAGATATTTTGCATGAAACATTGTGTAGTGGAACCTCTAGCAAGATTGTTCAAATTATAGCCCTGGGGTCAAAATTGCCCCGCCCCGGGGGTCATTGATTTTCAATATATACATATAGTAAAAAATAAAAAAATCTTATTGTCTGTAGGTACAAGGTACAAGGCTTCAAAAACTTAAAATACCTTCTTGTAAATGCCCAAAAGGCCTAGAGCTTAGGTATTAATGCGGTGGCATAGCATTTTTCTCAAATGCAATCTTGTTCGACTTAGAATTTACGTTAAAGTTTTTGTAATAGTTCAAATATTTTCAAAGTCCATTGACATATGGCTTTGAAACTTTGCACACTTGTTCAACATCATGACCCCAACCTGTAAACAGGAGGAGGTAACTCTATCAAGCATTTTGACAGAATTATGCCCCTTTTTCGACTTAGAATTTACGTTAAAGTTTTTGTAATAGTTCAAATATTTTCAAAGGCCATTGACATATGGCTTTGAAACTTTGCACACTTGTTCACCATCATGACCCCAACCTGTAAACAGGAGGAGGTAACGGTATCAGGCATTTTTTTTACTATCAAGCACTAAGAATAGTCGAGCGTTGCTGTCCTACCGACAGCTCTTGTTATTGCATTTTATTATGTTATGATTATCAGATTATTTAATAAATTAAATGGTATAACATCATAATTTAATATGTTGTAAATTGTTTTTAAATTTCAGGAAATCCAGGTGTTGTTGAATTCTATGATGATTTTATGAGTCATCTGTATACAAGCTGTGGAGGTACAGTGCCTGTTTGGGGTGTGTCACATGCTGGACATGTACTCCCACCTGCTGGAAACCAGGACTTGTACAGTAAGTTTGACTAGTAGCCAATGAAATATTTATGGTTTATTTTGGTTTAAACATATTTATTTAAGCTCGATTGTGAAACAAGTTCTTGCAACTTTATATTAATCGCTTTCAAGTCCGCTTCCTGGAACTGGAAGTACTGGTGTCATATGACGAATGTCGTGATATGTCTTGACCCGATTAGGGCTTGAACCAATGATCCCTGGGCTGCCTTAACCACTAGGCCACCGCTCCCGTTCGTTAATTTTGTTGTGATGTATTAGATAAGTAGATAAATGGTGAATGAATTTTTGTATGTAGAACCAGAAGCATATAGAAAAAAGTGATAACTTTGCATCAACTTTTTAGCTCACCTGTCACAAAGTGACAGGGTGAGCTTTTATGATCGCTTTTCGTCCGGCGTCCGTCGTCTGTCTGTAAACTTTTGCTTTAAATGACATCTCCTCATAAACCACTGAGCCAATTTCATCCAAACTTCACAGGAATGTTCCTTTGGTGGTCACCTTTAAAAGTTGTTCAAAGAATTTAATTCCATGCAGAACTCTGGTTGCCATGGCAACCGAAAGAAAAATCTTTAAATATCTTCTTTTAAACAACCCTAAGAGCTAGAGCTAAGATATTTGGCATGAAACATCTTCTAATGAGTGTCTACCAAATTTGTTCAAATAAAAGCCCTGGGGTCAAAATTGGCCCCGTCCCAGGGGGGTCATTGATTTTCCCTATATGCATATAGTAAAAACTTAAAAAATCTTCTTTTAAAGAACTGTAAGAGCTAGAGCTTAGATATTTGGCATGAAACATCTTCTAGTGAATGTCTACCAAGTTTGTTCAAATAAAAGCCCTGGGGTCAAAATTGGCCCTGCCCCAGGGGGTCATTGATTTTCCCTATATGCATATAGTAAAAACTTAAAAAATCTTCTTTTAAAGATCCCAAAGAGCTAGAGCTAAGATATTTAGCATGAAACATCTTCTAATGAGTGTCTACCAAGTTTGTTCAAATAAAAGCCCTGAGGTCAAAATTGGCCCTGCCCCAGGGGTCATAGATTTTCCCTATATGCATATAGTAAAAACTTAAAAAATCTTCTTTTAAAGAACCGTAAGAGCTAGAGCTTAGATATTTGGCATGAAACATGTTCTAATGAATGTCTACCAAGTTTGTTCAAATAAAAGCCCTGGGGTCAAAATTGGCCCTGCCCCAGGGGGTCATTGATTTTCCCTATATGCATATAGTAAATACTTAAAAAATCTTCTTTTAAAGAACCCAAATAGCTAGAGCTAAGATATTTAGCATGAAACATGTTCTAATGGGTGTCTACCAAGTTTGTTCAAATAAAAGCCCTGGGGTCAAAACTGGCCCTGCCCTGGGGGTCATTGATTTTCCTTATGTGTATAGCAAAAACTTAAAAATCTTCTTTGAAAAAACCCAAATAGCTAGAGTTTAGATATTAAGCATGAAACATCTTTAAGTAAATATCTACAAAGTTTGTTCAAATAAAAGCCCGGGGGTCAAAACTGGCCCTGCCCCAGGGGTGTCATTGTTTTAAACTATATGTGTATAGTAAAAACTTAAAAAATCTTCTTTTAAAAAAACCCAATGAGCTAGAACTTAGATGTTTAGCATGAAACATCTTCTTATGGGTGTCTACCATTAAGTCCTTTCAAATAAACAAATAAAAGCCCTTGGTTAAAAATTGGCCCGGGGGGGGGGGCTATATACAGGTGAGCAACCTCAGGGCCATCATGGCCCTCTTGTTCAATGTATGACTCAATAAACAGATAAAATTGTTATGTATATCACACAGAATTTAATTTTATATAGAACAAACATTTTTAGTTTGAACTAACTTCCAGAGAAAAGGTTTGCCCATATAGTTCAAAAGGGAGAGCTTCAGGTTTGTAATATAAGAGCAGCTGGTTCTCTTGGCAAAGCAAAATTTTCTTTGTAACATTTGATCTCAGACATTCTAATTATACCCCCACAAACGAAGTTTAGGGGGGGTATATAGGAGTCAGCTTGTCGGTCGGTCGGTCCGTCGGTCGGTCCGTCGGTCGGTCCACATCATGGTTTCCGGACGATAACTAGAGTTTGGAATGAGGTATTGTAATCAAACTTGGTATATAGGCAACCTTATGTGGAAACTCCGGTTGGTATTGGCATTTGGACCCCCTGGGGTCAAGGTCAAGGTCACCGTTACTAAAAATAGAAAAAATGGTTTCCGGACAATAACTAGAGTTAGGAATGAGATATTGTTATCAAACTTTGTGTATAGCAAGCTTATATGAAGACCTGGGTTGGTATTGCATTTAGGCCCCCTGGGGTCAAGGTCGAGGTCATGGTTACTAAAAATAGAAAAATGGTTTCCGGACAATAACTTGAGTTAGGAATGAGATATTGTAATCAAACTTGGTGTATAGCAAGCTTATATGAAGACCTGGGTTGGTATTGTATTTGGACCCCCTGGGTCAAGGTCACCGTTACTAAAAATAGAAAAATGGTTTCCGGACAATAACTAGAGTTAGGAATGAGATATTGTTATCAAACTTTGTGTATAGCAAGCTTATATGAAGACCTGGGTTGGTATTGCATTTGGACCCCCTGGGGTCAAGGTCACCGTTACTAAAAATAGAAAAATGGTTTTCCGGACAATAACTTGAGTTAGGAATGAGATATTGTAATCAAACTTGGTGTATAGCAAGCTTATATGAAGACCTGGGTTGGTATTGTTTTTGGACCCCCTGGGGTCAAAGTCAAGGTCACCGTTACTAAAAATAGAAAAATGGTTTCTGGACAATAACTAGAGTTAGGAAGAGATATTGTTATCAAACTTGGTGTATAGCAAGCTTATATGAAGACCTGGGTTGGTATTGCATTTTGACCCCCTGGAGGTCAAGGTCAAGGTCACCATTCCTAAAAATAGAAAAATGGTTTCCGAACAATAACTAGAGTTAGGAATGAGATATTGTAATCAAACTTTGTGAAAAGCAAGCTTATTTGGAGACCCCAGTTGGGATTACAATTAATTGAAATATTTCTTTGTACACAGTTGATAGTTTGTGTTGAAATTTTTCTTCAGACTACTTATTTTTCAAAAAGTTGCTGGTGGGGGTATTAATCACCTTCAGTGATAGGTCTAGTTCTCATTTGTCTCTTACCACTGATTAAGAAATCATGTGGAGTTAGTTACATGCTTTTTCCCAGTGAGTTACAAGATCTATTCCAAGATGCTTATTTTTTCCGAATCGTAATTCCCAATTGGGCCATCCTTAAAAAAATGTTTGTTTGCAGTAACGCGACCGACTCACAAAATTTGCCACTACTCAAAATTTTTTTTCATGGTCTGGATAAAAAATTATTATTTTTTGAATCAGAAAATTATGCCTTGTGCTTTGTTTTCGTTCTTTTAAAGGTAAATAGAAGAAATAAAATGTAGGTCTTATTAAATTAGAATTCAGTTATCAATTTATCAATTGTTACCAGATTATCAAAGCATATATTGTCCAGCATTTTGAAATTCCATGTTTATTTGGGAGTACAGTTCAATAAAAAAAAAAAAAAATCAACCTACCTACCCACCTTGAAAATTTTGGGTCGGGTTACTGCAAACAAACATTTTTTTAAGGATGGCCTTGTACTGAAATTTTTGATATCCAAATTGTTGACATTCATTAATTAGTAGTCAGTCTTTTGTAAAGAAATTGTTAAATACTGATTAGTTATCTAGGAAAGCCGGTTAGGAGGACCGACTGCCGAGATAATGACCTGAAAATGTGTTGAAATAATGTTAAAACAAGACAGACAAACTTGAAAATTGAAATAGCATTATAGTCTGTTTTTGTTATAAATACTCAACATATAAATCAGACATTATTCCTGGCTATGATGTCCTTGGATTGTTTTTGTCATTGAGAATTATCATACATTGAGTTTAATTATAAGAATATTAACCTCATTTTGCATGATAGCAATTACTTGTAAAAAAAAATGAATATCCATTAATTTTCTTTTCTATATTAAGAAGGCTACATGTTTTATTGTTTCAGAAAAGTTGAGCTATGAAGTCTGTACCCTAGATGGTCAAATAAGACACAAAGTGGCTTTCATCAAAGAAAACATTCCAAAGAAAACAAAACTGTTCCTGATTGGACATTCAATTGGCTGTTACATAATTCTAAAAATACTCGACCAATTGGAGCAGCCGATAGGTAGATGTTTCATGCTGTTTCCAACAATAGAAAGAATGGCTGTATCTCCAAATGGCAGGATTTATACTCCAGCATTGAAGTATTTACGGTGGATGGCACCACTTCTAGTCTCAGGTGTTGGTCTCTTACCTCAGGGTATAAAGACATGGTTGCTACGCAGCCATTTTAAAGATGAAAATGTGCCTGAATGTGTTCATTCAGCAACTGAAGGTTTGATCAATCCATTCTGTGTAAGCAATGCCTTGTTTATGGCACACCAAGAAATGTCGAAAGTGGCAGAGCTTGACAAAACCCTAGTTGAGAATCATTTGGACCGTCTTAGTTTTTATTTTGGAAAATCTGATGATTGGTGTCCTCCACATTATGGAGAGGATTTCAAGAAATTGTTCCCCACCTGTGATATACGAGTCTGTGAAATGGGATATAGCCACGCATATGTGATAGATGCTAGCTTACACATGGCTGATATTGTGGCCAAATGGTGTCAGGACTTTATGTGATATTTTGTACCTGGAAACAGAAAAAAGTCAGGGAAGTGCAATAATCAGTTTGAGAATTATGTACAAAATTGTAAAACTTGTGTGTACAAAAGGGAGTAATCATGTATACATATATATATATGAAATTCTATTCCTTTTATAAATGGATTTGATGAATACAATTCTTGTAAAGACATGCTGACTGCTACAATGAAACTGATCAAAATTGTTACCGGATTAGTACATTGTATTAAAATGAATAAAGTCAAATCAATTGAAATGCTCAAAATAAAGTAAACATTGAACGAATTCAACTTATTTAAAATGATTTTATGAAATCGAAAATGAAAAGAATGTAAGCACATATCATATCAACTTAGCATGAACTCAGGGAAATTTGAAGAAAAGTAGATATATAACATTCTTGTTTGAATAATGCTCAAGATTTAAATTATTCCTTGAAACAGATTTAAATATGTATTGCTGTATTTGCTGCTATATGATTTGGAGACAAACTAGACCACACATTATCTGTGATTTGTGATCAAATAGAAACAGAAATAACATTTGAAGCAAGAGTGATTTGGAACTAGTGTCAACATAAAATCAATGAAGTTGTGATTGAAAACAAACCAGAAAGTACATTCTAGGAGACCCTTGTCAGATTTTAGATCATTGTAGTTAATTCTCGGGACTAAATCAGTGATATATATACCCGGTAAACACTCATAATTTTATACAGTGTTCTTTGACATTCACATGTTCATGAGCATGAGTTGCGATAGAATAATTGTGATAAACAGTAGATTCAAATACAGTATAATAAATATTGTATTTTGTTTCAAGAGGGCAACACTCCATTGATAACCATAACAACAGATCTGTGAGTTATTTTAAATCTATTTTCTGCATCCAGGGCTTATGTTTTGGTAAAGTGATTCCTTAACAAAATTGAAGTAATCATTTCAATTTAAAGAAAAAAAGTAGTCACAATTTATTCGTGGAAAAAAAACCTGATAGGTAACAATAGTAATAAGTGAAAAATTAATTTACTAAAGGAAACACTTGTAAAACTTATTGACTCAAAAATATATTTAAAGTACTGTCTGGTAAGTTGAAAAATCTGAATAGATAAACATTCCTAGGGTGGTAAATTAATAATGTCTAATAAATATGTTTGATAATATTCATTAACATTTTTTATTAAGTGAATTTTTTTTTTCTTTTTGCTTTTGAGTTACTTGTTCCAAACACGATTCTCTTGCGAATTATTTGGTCTGGCTGGTTGAATTGACAGTACGTTACCCTGATCCGTAAATGTGATAGGGAAGTGTGAAAATTGTAGGAGCCCTGTGTCTGGTAAAATTGTTTCAAGGAATATGGGGTTAAGTTTGGTCTGGACATAGTTTCTGAACTATGTGTAAGTTTCTAATTAGCTCGACTATTCGAAGAATATGAGAGCTATTGTAGTCGCCCCGGCGTCGGCGTCCGCGTCGGCGTCTGCGTTGGTTAAAGTTTTTTGTAAAGTCAAATATCTCAATTATTACTTGAGATATTCAATTGAAACTTACAATACTTATTTATAGTAACAAGGTACATCAGATTGACAAGTTGGATAACTCTGCCTACAATATTGACAGAATTATGCCCCTTTTTAACTTAGAAATTTTGGTTAAAGTTTTTTGTAAAGTCAAATATCTCAATTATTGCTAGAGATATTCAATTGAAACTTACAATACTTATTTATAGTGACAAGGTACATCAGATTGACAAGTTGGATAACTCTGCCTACAATATTGACAGAATTATGCCCCTTTTTAACTTAGAAATTTTGGTTAAAGTTTTTTGTAAAGTCAAATATCTCAATTATTGCTTGAGATATTCAATTGAAACTTACAATACTTATTTATAGTAACAAGGTACATCAGATTGACAAGTTGGATAACTCTGCCTACAATATTGACAGAATTATGCCCCTTTGGAACTTAGAAATTTTTGGTTAAAGTTTTTTTGTAAAGTCAAATATCTCAATTATTGCTTGAGATATTCAATTGAAAACTTACAATACTTATTTATAGTAACAATGTACACCAGTTTGCGAAATTGCATAACTCTGCCTGCAATATTTGCAGAATTATTTGCCCCTTTTAAAACTTAGAAATTTTGGTTAAAAGTTAAAGGTCTTCAAAGATATTTACTGGAAACTTTACACATGCACTTAGGGTCATAATTGGAGGGTCATAATTGTATGTCACTGACCAAGTTCCATAACTCTATCTTGCATAAAGGCTGATTCATATCCCCTTTTCCACTTAGTCTCTTGGTTAATGTTTACATGCAAGTTTTACATATCTCAATAACTATTAAAGATATTTATTTAAAACTTCACATATGCATTTAGGGTCATAATTGTAGGTCACTGACAAAGATCCATAATTCTATAAAATGAATTTATAAAAAAAAATTAGCCCTTTTGTGAACTTAAAAATTTTAACATTATCAAGGCTCCTTTACTATCAAGCACTAAGAATAGTCGAGCGTGCTGTCCTACCGACAGCTCTTGTTTTTTCTTGCCGTCAGCGGTAATATCTCTCCGTGTTTGGTGCACTTCTCTGCCTCTGTTTCCTACCTAGATTAGGTGATATTGACTTTTTGCTCCTCTCTTTTCTCCAACAATGGCCCGTTGAAGATCAATTTTGCGTGATCTTCAAATTTCTGCCATTTATCTGGTAATTCCTGCTATTCCAATTGATTTGCGGAAGCGGTATTCCTACCATTGTTCTCGCAAAGTGTGTAAAAAACATAACATGACATATATTTTATTCAACATAAAATTGTATACATACAATTTATAGTATACTTTATATGATAAATGTAATAATCCTTTTTCTTTTCTACTATTTTTATCATTTTTACTCTGACACCATGTAATATATTTATTGAATGTACATACATGTCAATATACTATAGTGTAATGTTACAAAGTTCTGTTATTCACAAATGTGAATATATATATAAAAAAGGACACAGATGTGAACTTATCAAGTTAAATCTTAGAACTGGTCACTGGCAGGAATCACCTGTCTATAATAAGAGCTACCTATTCCAGCATTCATGGATTATACTGACATGTAAAGGTCAAGGTAAAAGTATCAGGTAACTGATATCATTACAATTGAGACTTGGTTACTTGATAAATGATAGTATGAAATAGTAAATGTTTTTTATTCAGACAGGGTGATTATCAGTATTGTAACAGGGCTATAATTTAACTTTGCTATCAATGATATTTATTCTTCTTCGGCTTTTGGATCTCTGTTGTTTGGTTCTGCTGCTGCTATTCATGCTGGGTGATATTGTCTCTGAATATTATATTTTTTTAATAATATATATCTGATATCTATCGGATATGGCTTACAGATTCCTTTGAGATTTGTCTTCCTTTCAGTGACAATTTCGGAACAGTTGGAAGCGATGTTTTCAGTATTTGATGATTTCTGTTTTGCGTAGGCTGTTTTTTTTTTAGCTCTTAATCTGGTTCACATGCTAAGGTGACAGGGTGAGCTTTTTGTGGCTCTGCGTTTTCGTACGTTTTTGTTTGGCTCGGGTTTTTTTTTTGTTGGGCTGGTTTTTGGAGTTTCGCTTGTGCCGTTTCGTTGTTTTTTTGTTTGTTCTTTCCGTTAACTGTTACTTTATGATCATCTCTTCATAACACTAAGTTCATTTCTATCCATGACTTCACTATGGGAGATGGTCGTTTCCTTTTGTGTGGCACTTATTGAAAATTGGTCAAGAATTTTATTTTCGGTGCCGATTGCAGAAGTCTAGTGTGGTTGCGGCCATGGCATACCATGAAAGTATAAAAATCATAACTATTTCTCTAAATATATTGCGCGATAAGAGCCTCGAGTGATGCTTTAGATTTTGGTCAATGAAAACATGGCTTTCTAGTGTATGTCTACCATAAGTTTGTTCATAAAGTCCGGTCTGGGGTTTCAATTGGCCTGTCTCTGTGCGCCACGGGGGTTCGGATTCTTGAGGTTTTCTTCTCCTGAAGCATAGTGGAACCTTAATCTTTTCATTTAAGAACCCAAAGACCTATAGCTGATAGATGAGGTTTGAAGCTGAATCTGATCTCCTCTGTATTGGGTTTGTTCTACCTTAGAGTTGTTCATAATAACTCTGGGGGGAAAGACTTGGCTCTTTTCTGTCTCCAGGAGAGTCAGTCTGATTTAGTCCACGAGTATGGTTTCAATTAGGAAGGTTTAACTTTTAAAAAATCTTTCTTTGAATAGTAATCTTGCGCAATAGAGCTTAGGGTATGCTTCAGATATTGTGTCGATGAGATCAGTGGTTCTGATGTGGATGGTGTTCATACTTAAAGTTATGGTTTCAAATAAGCATTGTTTCTTGTTTCCCGTTCGGGGTCTAAAATTGGGCCGCGCGCTCCAGGTGGTGTCATTGATTCTTTCGCTCCTATTATTTGTATATATCGTACTTATTGAGCTTAGATCTGTTTTCTTTTAACAGAACCATAGCCTAGGAGCTAAGATATTTTAGCATGACATCTTCATGCTATGCGTGTTTTGGCCTTACCTTTAAGTTGTTATCCATATTATAACAAGCCTGCGGGTCAAAATGTGCCTGTCTGTCTGCCCAGGGGGTCATTTGATTTTTCCCTATATGGGGCATTGTAAAACTTAAACAATCTTTCGAAGAGAATCTCGTCGAGATAGGAGCTAGGAGATAGATATGTTAGGTGCGATGGAAAACATGTTCGATTATGGATTGTCTTAGGCGTGCCGGATAGTTTTGTGTCATAAGTGAAGCGGAGTCTCTGGGTCATAGGAGATCGTGCCGGCAGGGGGCAGCAGTGTTGGGGTCTATCTTGATGGTTGGTCTTATGTGTATCTAGGGGCTAAAAGCTTAAACATTTCTTTGGGAAAAAACATAATAGGCTAGAGTTTAGAGTATCTAACGTCTGTTGAAACAGTTTAGTTGAGGTTGTGCGACCGCAGATGGTTCGTTGGTTGGAATAAGAGCCTCAGGTCAATATTGCCCTGGGTCTTCTCGGTGTGTGTCACTGTTACATTTTTCCTTTATAGTTGGGTGTATGTTATTTTGAATCAAAATACTCGGTTATATAAACATCTGGTGATTGTTACCTTCGTTTTGTTTTGTCTATTCTTTGAAAAACAGTCGAGAATTATGCTGAGAGTTTAGTAATATTGAACACAAAGGTCACTTTTTCTAGTGAAGTGTCTTCAATAGGTTGTATCAAATATATAGCCTTGTGGTCTAAATTCGACCCGCCGGTGACATGATTTTTTCGCTTATTTATGTGTATTGCAGAAGAACTTAAAAATCTTCTGATAAACGTCTCGTATATGCTTAAGAGTTTAGTTAATTAGCTTATTTGAATATCATGTTTGTTCTGGAGTTAAGTGTGCTTAACATAAGATATTGTTCATATAAAACTGTGCTCTGCTATTCTATGCGGTCGTGTATTGTTTTTTAACTAATATGTGTAATATGAAATCTTTTACTCGGTAGCTAGACTTAATTGTTAGGCTATGAATAACTATCTTCTGAGTATGGGTGTTCTTATCCATAGTTTGTTCATATATAGAAGTTCTCTCTTGGGTTTAAATCTGGCGCCCGGTCGTGGGGCGATTATATAGCAGGTGACGACTTCGAGGGCCATCATGTGCCCTGTTTTTGTTATTTCTTTTTGTTTTTGAACATTAACAAAGTATATACAATTCACCTCATCTTTATAAATGATATATTATTAAGTGAGGCATGAAGTTTTTGTATCCTATATAATTGCATTTCTTCCTGTCCTTTAGGAAGCAGGTGTGTCTGGTTTTGGTGTGGGGACAGCTGTGCTGGTTTTGCCTGTGACTCTTTTTCATTATGAACATCCAATGAGCTATCTGTTTGTATGAAAATACCATTCCCTCATAGGCCTTTTTGTGTATAATTGCCTTTTTACAAGGTCTGTTTCTCTCTCAGCGGGCTAATTAATTGTCCTTTCTACGTCTGTGTCGGGAAATATTATCATGTTCAGAGCGATAGATGACGATTTGGGTGGTTGGGTTTTATTTTTGGTGGTTTTTTGCGTTTTTTGGGTTCCTTGTCATGATCTTTAATATTAACTATATAAGTATTTGTTGATTGATTTAAAAAATTATATATATACATATAAGATTACTGTCATGATTATATCCTGCATTCTTCAAATGTTGTATAGGGGTATACTGGATTATCAGCTTGTCTCTGTGTGGTGTCTTCGTTGTTCGCCGGGTATTTTTTTTGGTTGTTTATTCCGTTGCCTGGGTTTTCTCGGCCGTGCCGTTTTTTTTTCGTGTTTTTTCTGCGAGTGTCCCGGCTGTTCCAATAACTTAAGGAGTTCCTTTGAAGCTTGTAGTCTTGTCTATTGGCATGGATGTTTTATGTCATGATTAGTAATGTAGTGAAACCGCCTATTGATTTTGAGGTTCACATGTTAGGTCTAAAAGGATCAAGGTTCATAGGGGCCTTCTGTTTACTTCAAGAAAGCTGGTCCGCTCCAATAACTTAAGATCCTGGTTGACCTATCACGATCGTCATATTTTCTGGCATGGAGGTTAGTCAATGAGGGAGATAGATGACCCCTATTGATTTTGAAGGTCACATAGGTTCATAAGTCAAGGTCAGCAGCTGGCCTTGTTTGCTTTGGATCTTTTTTGCGGAAAGAAGGGCAGTGTGTCCGCGGTTCTTCTTTTCCTAATACTTTTATTGTATTCACTTTGAGGCCTTTACATGTCTGTTTCATATGGTCATTGTGAGGGTGTCATGATTAGTTAGATTTAGGCACCTTATTTGAGATTGTTTAGAGTCACTGTATGGGTCAGAGTAGGGTCTAGGTGCACGAGGGCTTTTTCGGTGACTTATATAAAAAGGATTGTCCGCGTTCTGTGTCCAAGGGTCATGCTGGTAAGAATGCCTTTTGTATTTCCTAGGCAAGTCCGTCAATTATTTTTGGCATTGCTGAGGTGTAGTCTATTGATTAGGTGTGATCGAATCCTGCCTTATTTGTATTCGAGGTCCTAGTCTAAACAGGTTTCATGCGGTCAGCGAGGGGTCCCTTTTGGTGAGTGGTTTTTGATTTATACAGCTTGGTCCCGCCGTGTCCTAAATTATACTTTGAGAGGATTCCTGTTTGAACCGTAGGTGCGAGTGTCATGAGTTTTGGCATCGAGGTTATGTCATTGGGCGGGATAAGAGGATGACGGTGACTCCTTTATTGATTTGTTAGAGGTCACGCAGGTCAAAGGTTTCTGGTCTTCAGGTCCAGGGGCTTTGAGGCTTCTAAGAGGGCTGGTCTTTCGGACTTTGGTGTTTGTTTTGGTTCTGGCTTGGGTTTCTGGCATACTTTAGGAGGATTTCCTGTAGGCCCCACAGGTCTTCTATATTTGGCATGAGTTAGGTCCGTCTTCGGTGATTATGTGTATGGATGGTTTTGTTACGCGTATTGGAGTTTTGAGGTCAATGTGGTCTTAGAGAGGTCACAGGCGGGCCTGTGGCTGCGAAGAGCTGTTGTTCTCGCGGGGTTTTTTTCCTTATTTAGACTTGTTATAATGATTTCCTTTTGACCCCCATTAGCGCGGAGCAGTTCTCAGTATATTTGGTTGTCTTATTTGTTGTTTTATGTTCTTGTGAGTGTTTTAGGATTGTGGATCTTTTGCCCGATATTGATTTGATGTGAGTTCAAACTGGCTTTGTTTTTTTTGGTTTGTGTAGGTCTGGTGTTTGTTTGGTGGGTCATGTGGCGGTTTAGTGTCAATTTAGGTTCTAGTCACAGGGGGCCTTGACTGTCATATAAGGTTTTGTCCGCGTTTATTTAACTTTTATATGTAATTTCCTATGACGTT